ACATTAATTACTCGCATAAGTCAATGAATTGTGCATTTATTGGCAACAACTTGGATTGTATTTATGATATACATTATGCACCTATACTATAATATTTGAATTTTTCATCACTAAACGCTAATTTTCAATAAGGTGATAAATTTTATTTTTAAAAAAAAAGTGAATTTCATGTTCAAACGGTAAATTAATTTCAATACTAACTAATGAAGGGTAACATTGGAAAATTATTTTAAAAGTAGTATTGAGAATTGAACAATTAAATTAATTTGATAAATAAAAAATGTCTCAACAATTCATTTAATATGAAATAGAGGGAGTATCATTGAGCACTACGAGGAAAAGATATAAGTTATAGAAGTGGGCATAGTTTTATGGACAGTAAATTAAAGTATTAGTTGTCTATTTATGGATGCTAGTATCATTTAATTGCAATGTGTTGAACTGGATATAGTACTCACTTTAACATAAAAATGGAAATATTTATGAATCCTTTTAGAGTTTAGTAGGTAAGAAGTGACAACACAATTCTACTACCTAACTATTAATTATTTATTGGCTTTCAATTTCATTTTCATTTTCATTTTCATTTTCATCTTATGAATATTATAACATTTTTTATTAATAGTATGTTTGATTAAAATTCTAAAATTTAATCTATTTTAAAAAAGTATATTTTGAAAATGTACGTTTAATGAGAAGAGTTCATGTTTGACCAATAAATTTAAAATGTATTTTTAAGTATTAATTAATGTTTGATCAGACTTTTTAAAAGAGATTCTAAAGTATATAGTGTTTATTATCAACCAGTAATGTGTGTCACATGAATCTACATGTGAAATTAATTGTAACTCCTGTTTAATTCTCCTTACATTTAATAGTAGAGTACTGTTTTTCAATGCAAAAGACTTGTCATGGGGTTTATGAAGCCAATATTTTTGGTAAAAAAATTTATTTCAATACATGGTGTTCTTTTTTCCATATTTGGAGTTTCTTATTCATGGACCATATTTCATTATTAATCCTGGTGGACAATGCCTAACAGTTGTTGAAAGATGAAGGGATTTTTATCAATCGTATATTGATTATTTGTGTAGCTATTAAAATAGGGAAATTGGTGTGTAGGTACAAGTCTTACGTAAAATTAATGCATATTTGACTCAAAACCTATTTATTAAAAGTAAGCTTCAAATAAGAGATTTTTCTAGATTCACGTTTTTGTGATTATTCATATTCGATAAAGATTTTAATTAATGGTAAGTGTATCTACATATTTCTTCTTTCAATGACAAGACTATTATTGAAGGTAAGTCGTTCATGTTAGTAATTTTTATTATGTGAACTCACATATTAATATATTATACATAGATATGCTATCATTAAAGTACCCCATTGTATGATCTAATAAAGTATCAAAGTTTTGACCTTAAAGTGAATATGTATTAATAGGGATTTAATTTAAATAATTAACTTGAAATTCATAGACCTTTTCTTGAGTCTGATGGAGACTTATTGAACGAGTTCCATTTAAACCTAAAAAGGTACATTTCCTAAAAAGGCACTTCGAAATCCTTTAAAGGATTTGGTCCATAAACCAGAAGACGTACTTTTCTCTTTCTCTCCATTTTAGAAAAAGAACAATAAAAGAGTTATCTTCAAAGTTTGGAAGATCAAGTTCATCGGTTTGGAAGATCAAGTTCATTAATCAAGTTATTGTCTTCTTCAATCAAGTTATTGTGATGGAACAATGTTAATGTTCCTATTATTCTCTAATATTGATGTTTATGTCTAGTGGATTACTTGTGATCTTGGATAGATTGTTTAAAGTTTTCTAACAATCCAAACATAAGGTATCAAAGAGGTATATGATTTCTTTAACGTACAATGATACATCATGTAGTATCGGAAAGATATCATGATACATCATGTATTGAAAAGATATCATTATATCATTATATAATGTAGCAAAAATGTATCATGATACACCATCTATGAGAAAGATATCATGATGTAATATATCAAAATGGTATATATCATAATACATCATATATATATATATATATATATATATATATCAAAATGGTATATATCATAATACATCATTTATCGGAGAGGCATACACCATCTATGAAAAAGGTATCATAATGTAATATATCAAAATGGTATATATCATGATACATCATATTTCGGAGAGATATCATGCTACCATCAATTACTGTGTAATGCTCTCTGCACCAGATTCCGAAATGTCGTATCAGAACTTGAATGGTTTATATCCACAACTCACAATAAACCAAAAAAAGAAGAAGCCAATGTGGTAATTAATAAAAATCATCATTCACTTATTTTTCAATCTATTTTGGAATAAGTTGTTACCACATATATTTCATTTACAATTCTACAACAAATTTCAATAATGTAAATTTAAAAAATTAATGTAATTGATCACATTAATTACTCGCATAAGTCAATGAATTGTGCATTTAATGGCAACAACTTGGATTGTATTTATGATATACATTATACACCTATACTATGACCACCTTTTAAATGAAATTTTCTCTTTTTTTAGTCATAAGTTACCATTCTGATTATACAAAGCTATTATTGTTAGAATATTTCAAAATACTTGCAACGAAATTTTTTTGGTACAACTTTTAAGAAGTTACATTAATTTAATTACTTAAATTTTAAATACTGATAAGATATATATTGTTTTAAATGTTGCCCTCTACTATAAGTTAGATTAGTATTAAACTTGGTGACTAATCAAATATACCATCATTTTTGGATTGATTTATTTTTAAATGTTTTTATAATAAAATATAAGCACTTATTATTAAATTAAAAAATAAAAATAAATCAAATATCATAAATTAAAAATCCTTTTTCCTTTGATAAAATCTAGCAAGTTGAAGATGTTGTAATAAAGGTGAGAGAGACTTTGGGTATTCACTACAAATCTTGGCAGTTGCAACATGCCTTCATTTACTTTCCTCTTTCATAATTTGCTATAGAGTAGCAGTTTTCAACATTTCCCATAGGTCTCCGCTTTTTGTGATCAGGCTCCTCTCCATTTTCCCCAAATTTCTATTGGAATTGTTGACACATAATTTAATAACTAAGATTTAGTAAATTAAAATAAAGCCTTAACTATGGTTATTTGGAAAATTAATTACTTCTAAAATATTTTCTCTCAAAAGATTTTTACAATCCCACAATTCTAAATCAATATTATATTTTTCTTAATTATATATAAAAAAGACTCTTTCTTATTTTGTGTAAATTTCTTAAATATATAATTATGAGTAACTAAATATTTAATTACTTTGTCTTATTTTGATTATATTATCATGAGTAAAAATAAGACAAAGTACGTAAATATTTATTCGGATATCACTTCCCAATAGAAAAAGGATAGGCAACTATATTTATTCGGCTCACAAGTTGTCAGAATTAATAACAATGCATTGATAAACGCTACAAATTATTGGTGGACCAAAATGTATTATGGGAAGGATAGCAATTATAGAGTAGATATAGTAGTTGGACAAGTAATTATGTCATTGTCACAAATTTAAATAAATTAATACTCCCTCCGTTTTACAAAGAGTGGCCTAATTTGACTTGGCACGGAGTTTAAGAAAACAAAAAAGACTTTTGAATCTTGTGGCCCTAAATTAAAGTTATGTCAAATGTACAAAATTGCCCTTTAATCTTGTGGTCTTAAACATGTCACGTGGAAAGTTGAAAGTAAAATGTTACCAAAAAAGGAAAGGGGCCATTCTTTTTGAAACAGACTAAAAAGGAAAGGAGACAATTCTTTTTGAAACGGAGAGAGTATTAGATTTAAAGTTAAGGTTAAAGATTAAAATTATTATTGTATAAATTAATTTATTCCAATCATAACATCTGTCATCGTTTTCTCCATCTTCTTAGTCGTAGTCTCGTCTCTGTCGTATCATTGATATCTCCGTGAAATGAGAGGGTTTAGGATTTTAAAGAAGTTAATCAAAAATAGTATTAAAATAATTGATGTGTCAGCAAATAGAGTTGTTATATATGTCAGGTGGACGAATATTTTATAGACAAACACACCATCAATCATTTTCATACAAACATTTATTGTAGTTAACGTCTAGGTGTGTTTCGTTAACTATTGGGTGATAGTTCAAATAGAAAACTTACAATCCCAATTGTTTAAATATGAAACTCAATAAAATGAAATAGTTTAGATGTATTATTGATCCTTTTAACTCTATAATTTATTATATAAAGGATTTATTTAACTGTGCTCTTTTGACTAACTTGAAATTGAGCCAGTATATTGAAAATGCATTAATTGATCACCTCTTCGAGATTAAGGCCAATCAAATTTATTGTAAGACTCATAATGATCAATTTTACGAAAATTTCATTCCATTCTAAAAGCTCGTAGCGTCTTATATACCGTCACTATATGTAAATAATTCTTACACTATCAGGTATTCCAAATAATATCTACACCTTCTATAAAAGTGAAATCCGAAATGTCAAAAAATGCATTTGGAATAAAGGTATTTTTAACTCATTACATAACAATAAGAGTATTTTTAATCCAAAGTATTGACGACAAGGGTATTTTTAGACTATACTTTAAAAGAAAGATATTTTTATTCATCTCACATAGTTTAAAGACATTTTTAACCCTTTATATTTTGAAAATAAAATATATTACTCCCTCCGTCCCATTTTATGTGACACTTTTTGGATTTCGATATTCAAACAAGTCTATCTTTGACCATAAGTTTTTCATAGATTTTTTAAGCATTTTGAATTATCAATTATTGTGACTTATACTAATATTTTTTAAGTCAAACATTTCCTGTCTTAAACTTTCTCACTCTCGAAAAACGAAAGTGACACATTGAGACACATGCCATACCTATTACAACCCCACACGAAAATGACTTGATGGTGTAAGCTATATACTATATAGAGAAGGGAAAGTAAGGTATGTTGAGATCCAAAATTATCACTCTTCAACAAGGCAATACTTTCAACCATGGAATTGATCATAACATACCCTAAGCTTTTCTTCATTACATTAACATTAGTACTACTATTTTTCTTCCGCAAAAACAATAAACGAAGAGTTTTCCTTGTAGATTTCTCATGCTACAAGCCCCCGAAAAATCAACAAGTTGATAGACAAACATTTGTCGATAAAAGCAGCAAAACTCTTTGTTATAACAAAGACTCACTAGAGTTCATGGACAAGATGTTGGAACGATCCGGCTTAGGTGATAAAACGTATCTTTCTAAAGGTTTGTTGAAAGAACCTACAGATATGAGCGCGGAAGCTGCTAAGGAAGAAGTGGAGATGGCGATATTCGGAGTCATAGATGAACTTCTTCTCAAAACCGGAGTTCAATGTGAGGATATTGGGATGTTGATTACTGTTTTTGGTGGATACAATATTATGCCATCAGTGTCTAGTGTCATTGTGAAACGTTACAACCTTAGACATGATATACGTACATATAATGTTACTGGAATGGGATGTACTGCTGGCCTTGTTGCCTTAGGCCTTGTCCAAAATTTGCTTAAGGTAATATACTATAAACAATTTTTTTTATCGTATTATCTGTTGTTGTTATTATTGAACTCTATTGTTGTGCAGGTGCATGATAACTCTTGTGCACTAGTAGTGACCAGTGAGAGCACTACAGCAAATGTATACAAAGGCAATGACCGGTCAAAATTATTGGCTAATTGCATATTCCGTGTGGGTGCAGTAGCTCTTCTCCTCTCCAACAAACCGTCTGATGTGAATACATCAAAGTATGAGCTCATCCACACCGTCCGATCTCAAACATCGGACGATGATCGCTCATACAACTGTATTTTCATGGAAGAAGACGTGGAAGGACATCGAGGTGTCACAATCAATAAAGATCTATTGTACGCAGCTATGAAAACCATTCGATTAAACATATCCACTGTAGCTCCTTTAGTCCTTCCTCTATCTGAAAAATTTCGTTACTTGGTAAATCTTATTAGTACAAAAAGCAAGGTAGAGTCTTATAGTCCTAATTTCGCGAAATCCATTGATCATTTCTTCCCACATGTCGGTGGGAAGCCGGTGTTGGATGACTTGCAGAATAAGTTAGGATTTAGCGATGAACAAATGGAAGCTTCTAGAATGACATTGTACAGAATTGGTAACACTTCAAGTAGTTCGATATGGTATGAAGTAGCTTATGCTGAGGCAAAAGGTAGGGTGAAAAAAGGAGATGCATTGTGGCAAATAGCATTTGGGTCAGGTTTCAAGTGTAACAGTGTGATTTGGAAGGCAATTCGATCCGTTAATCGCGATGAGATGAATCCATGGCGCGATGAAATTCATGAGTTCCCCGTGGATGTAAGTGATATCGAAGTAGTCCCGCCGGACCTATTCGTTGCTTCCAAATAGGATAAACTCATGTGTTACATGCTCATTTTGTTTTCCATATTCCCCTGTTTTATTTTTGTTCTTCTAAGCAAATTTTCCATTTATAGAGAATGGTGTAATTTTTATGTACTAATTTTTAATGATCGATGTCACTTCACTAAAAGCTTTCTTTATATCGAGGGGATTCAAAAATTATATACAAAACGAATGTTCTTATCCTGTTCAAATAGTATAATTTTCCAACAAAGGAAGTTCAACTACTAAAGCCCCTTCGTTGCAATAGCTCCGCCCCTGCTAGACTCTTTCTAGATATTCAAGACTACGAAATCTGAATAGTTAATATAGTCAAGCTACAGAGGATAAAAGATTATGAATCAGGAAGGATATTAGAGTAACTATTCAGATTTCGTAAGATTATGAATCAGGAAGGATATTAGAGTAACATAATGCATTTCATTGACTTGGATAAGTCAAATAACAAAGTTTGAGGTTGATTCAACTTTGGCTTTCTATACATGTAGTTAGGGGATGAGCCAGTGTAACTTTGGTTCAAACTCTAAATTTGTAACAAGAAATTCATTGAATATGTACAAATTATTAATTCAGAACTTAGTAACTTGAAAGAATTAGAATTCTGAATCCATAAACTTCAAATTCTGACTTCGCCTCTGCATATAGCCCTGCAGGAATTCACATCATAAACCATTCAATCAATGAAGCCATTCGAGAGATATTCCCATTTTTTCAAGCATAGCTCTACCAAAGTATTGTTCTTTGGCCAAAAGTCTCACTTGTTTTATATATGTACCAAAAGGCATTACCCCTTGCTCAACTGCCTTATCTAATGAGTACATCAAATCCTCTGTTGCTTTATCTGATGCTATGCTATCAAGTAGTATCTTTGAATTCTCGTCAATCGCTTCAAATTCATCCTCAATTTTATATTTTGAACTTAAATCTTGATCCTTATCTTTTAGCCAACTCGACAGTTTATCCGCTTCATCTGTCAAGATTTTCACCCTTTCCTTCAATTCCATCATTTCATTTTCACTCTCATCAACCGAAAACTCAGCAACAATTACCCTTCTAACCATATGTTCTTTAAGGCTTGAAAGCTCCTCAACTTCTTCATGAGTCTTGGAGAGTAATTCTTTCATGTCATAATGAAGTGTGCACGAGAGACGGTCAACAGCCTCCCTCCTAGAAGCTAAAGAAGGGTGAAAGAAATCGTCAGTTGAAGGCGAATAGTAGAAAGGATGATTATGTGAAAAGATCTTGAAAAGATTGTGTACAAGGTCAGAGAGGTTGCAGCCAGGGTACTTCCAATTTACTAAGTAAAATGTTGAAATAGCACCTGATGAAGAGTCAACAAAAGGATGATTATCATAAATTGGATAAGTAGTATTTGTTGACATGAGTACAATAGGGGCTATAAAAGGGTAACTTTCATGTAACCAAATGGTAAGAGGGATTGAAGGGGTGGAGGAAGAGAGTTGCAACTCTCCGTTCGCGTTGAGTAAGTTGACACTAGTGCCATCGTCATGCATGAATGCATCGATGGAAGGTTTGAAAGAGAAATAATCTTGAAGAAAAGAGACGAGATGCCTTCGAATTATACGTTTTTGGTTAGGATCTGTGTAAGATGGTGCAAAATGTGGACTTGTACAAGAAAGTGCAGCATCTATGAATTGGATTGAAGATGGAGGTGTTTCAAAGTTTGTGGAGAATAACTCTTGAGCTAATGATTTGAAGTAGTCCATTTAAGTTCAAAGATTGCTGATTTTTAGGAGTAATGATCAATCACTATTTATAAAGTGAATTGAAAAAAAACTAGTTTGAATACTTCAATACCCCTTAAACTTGTCGGTTTATATAGTCTGTTTCGATTGAGCACCTGAACATATGATAAAATGTTCTTATTAGACACTTCTGACTCAAATTTTGGAAAAGTTTATGCGCATGTTCTCAAATGTCCATTATATAAATAAGTTAATCACTTAAAATATGTCACTTTTTTTAAATATAAGTATTAGTCTCAATTATAAGTCGTTAAATCTTTGACATGTTCCAATTGATGTTAAAAGAGGTTAGATATTTTATGTCATTTACTTATCTACATGATATGTGCTTGCAAGAACACACGTTGAATCTATTTCAAATTTACGTTGGAAGTTTCTAACATTAACACTTTATCATGAATTCAGGTACTTAATTAGAACAAATCATAGCTCAAGGGTCTAAATGTAATCTACCGTCAAACTTAAGGGGTTGTCGATGTATTCGGCCAATAAACAACACTTCTATCCTCTAGACTCTCCTATATAAAAAATGACCCATAGACAATGAAGTCAATTGTTTATAATGTTTTTTAAGTGTTGCGAAGTTGCTTGGAACTTTGCTTTTGATGTAAGTAAAGGTGTTTTCTAGCTTCAATCTGCTCAATTTTGTGAGTCAACGACTAACAAAATGTTATAGAAATGCAAATATTACATTAATAAGCAAATTAGTTGGGATAGATAGTCACTTATGCGTTAATAAAACAAAACTTGTTGACCAAATTGCTTGCTCCACAAGTGTTGATTTGCCTCTTTCTCATTGTTTATTATGCATCCTATGGCTTGGGAATTGGCATGGAAAATATGGAGGGGGGCCAATTATTAGGTGATAAGATTTGCTAATAGATATACTTGTTTGACTAAGTAAGAACAAAAAACAGAAAACAGAAAACTGTTTTTTTGGGGTGTATAGTTGCATTTTAAAGTAAGAAAGATCAAATTGGCATAAAAGAGTGGGAAAATGCATGCTCAATTGAATTTTTTTATCTGATCAAGTTTTGATGGATACAATTATTCGACATCTATGGTGATGAGAAATAACATGTACTTAATCAAAAGTCATGTAAAATAATTCAAACACCATCATTATGAGAAAATAATCTATGGAAAAAGATTAAACAAAGTGAAAAATGAGCAAGAATAATACAAGCGTTGATCACCGACTTAATTATTACAAAGTAAGAAAAAACTATTTGATTCGAGTACGTTAAAAGTTAATACTTTTAGAAATCATTGATTAAAAAAACTTTGCGTCTAAGACTGATTTTAGGACTGGGTAGAAAAATTTTGAGTTTAATAAAAACAATATTTAAAGTTAGATGACTTTAGGCTCAAAGAGTTCTACACTAATACACACCATATGTTTTTATGTAATTTTAGGTAAAACAATTTAAGCAGTTATGATAAAGGGTAAACTTGGGAATAAACATTTGGCAGGTGTTTGTTAGCAACAAATTTTTGAGTGCTGAAATATTAACTGCAATATTAAAAAAAAAAGGGTAATTTGATGAGTTTTATCAAGTACAATTATGTTGTTCTCTTGATTGTTTTTTTTTTAAAAACTTCTCAGAGTGATTAGAGGACTTCCAATTGTGTATTTCTCGAATTGTAGGATACTTTGAACCTCGTAGAAATATAGTGTGTTTGATCTCCATAAATGTCGAAAAGTGTTTTGTTTTTCCATGTTGATCTCTAAGCGGAATTTTGTTGATCACCCATTTGAAGAACTTTTTAGTCAATATTGATGCTTTATCCAATACTTGTTGAATGTCCTCGGAAAGTTATTTAATCTCCATATTTATAGTTGTAGGCAGTCCAAGTGTAAATTGATATTCTTGTCTCATTTTAATTGTATCATATAAGTCATCAAGATTATCACAAATATATGTGATGAGATTTTTTTGATTGGTCAAGACATGTCATTTTAAGCACTTGATAAAAAAAAATCTGATACTTGAATTTGGTTGGGATTACCGCATCATTTGAACGCATAACATCATCTTATTGGTCTTAAATTTTACTGAGATGTCATGTCAATTGACACGCGGCATGGATTTGGGCCTCAAAATGAAAGTCTTTGGGCTTGAAAATGATAAAATGGACTACTATAGTTAATAAAATTCAAATTAATTATTCAATCAAAATAATTCAAAATTTAAGAATAGCTATTAATATATACTATTCAGTCATCTAATTTGCCAAACATAGCCAAAGTATACACTATATATACATTCAATAGTACGTATATGGTGCGTATATGTTATGTATACTTATATACATTATATGCATAATATATGTATATTAATATAAATTATAAAGTGTATGCTATCAATATATTGTCCAAATGTTTTGTAAACAAGATGGCCCAAAAGTATTGGACTGTAACTTTTTAAAAACTTTTATTCAAATTTTGTATGGACCAAACTCAATAACTTTTTTGACATGTCTACAGTGTCCATTTAGTAATATATATTTTTCATTTCCTATTCATATTTAAGTCGATCCCTTTTTGTTGAGTTTCCTACATTTTATTCTTTTGTTTCTGACTAATTAGTTTGCTTAAGGATGAATTTATGTGTTACACTTCCTTAACTGTAATAATTTTATATTATACAGAAGTGATGCTAATCTTTAGGTAGTGCAAAGGAAAAAAAAAATGGGACATTATACTAGTGTATTTGCAGTAGCATTATATTTTCACCTAAAATTCTAACTGACACATTTGTTTTCATATCATTGATTGAATTCAATAATGTACTCCCTCCGTCCCATTTTATATATCCCTTTCTATAAATAACTGGACCACAATACTTGTCATTTTATAAAATTTATGCATAAATTACTATATTTTGACTATTATACCCTTGATAGAATAGTTAATTAATCTTGAAAATGTATTCATCATTTATTATAAAGTTGACTTAAGAAAACATTAAATAAGGGTAGAAGGGTAAAGTTACATCATTTCTTAATGCAAGTGCAAAGTAAAAAGGTGACATATAAAATGGGACGGAGGGAGTACATTATTGAATTCAATCAATGATATGAAAACAAATGTGTCAGTTAGAATTTTAGGTGAAAATATAATGCTACTGCAAATACACTAGTATAATGTCCCATTTTTTTTTTCCTTTGCACTACCTAAAGATTAGCATCACTTCTGTATAATATAAAATTATTACAGTTAAGGAAGGTTTTTCTAAAATATGTGTCCTTTCCCAAAAAGGATTGGGTCAAATTTGAATCGCATAAAGATTTGATTCGCCCAAAGTTGCTCGGATTAATTGTTCATCGATCAGGTTGTGAGCATAT